ACCAATCCGTCTACATCAACATTCATCAATGAAACGTGGTTTAATGTCATAGCTAAGCATGATATCAGAAGCAACGGTATATGCAAATGCATCATGGACAATCATCTCATTCTAATTCCAAACCTCATCCAATACTGCATGATGGACCGAAATTTCACGATTCTTCGGAGGCCAATATAATTCATCTAAAACATCACCGTAATCTAGAATAACCTCATGCATTGGAACAAATGAGTAAGTAATGGTCGGATTAGACTAGGGTCACTAGTTTGTGCCATTTTTCTCTTCCGGGGTTGTGAATCATTTGAACCAGGGGGCCTGCCTCACTTTAGGGTAGGAGCCAGTGATTGGCTAGTCATCAGTGTACCTTGTTGTATGGGAGGTGTGACCGCCTAACCCTCGGGGACAGTTCGGCCTTCCAATGTAGTGTTACGGCATACGTTAAGTACGTCCATCCTTGCAAGTGCATTTGCAGCAGGTATATGTGATCTCATCACCTTTGCTAGATTAGTAAAAGCATCTGGCATGTTTTGAGCAATGTTTTGAAGATCTAGAATACATCGCACTTTAGTTTCAGGCTGAGGTGTGCGAGGATCTAAATGAAGCATAGTGGGAGTAATCCACGACAATTCACGGAGTTTTATAAGAACGTTAGTGATCTTATCTCCCCCTAATGATGGGAAGATTGTCTCATGAAAATGACAATCCACAAAACGTGTGGTAAAGAGATCTCCTATCAAGGGCTCTAAGAAACGAATAATTGATGGCGAATCATAACTGACATAGACTCCCATTTTTCTCTGAGGATCCATTTTGGTATGTAGTGGCGGCACTATTGGCACATAGATTGCGCATCCAAATACACATAGTTGCGTGCAATATTGCATGGCCCTGCAGATACCAGTAAATTGGTTTGCATAACTAAAGTTTGAGCTATCATTTGAAGGCACTTTATGAAAGCTTCTGCCAGGTTGTTTTAGGTGTGAACATAGGGTACAAGATGTTCAACTTCAATCCCAACAGACATGCAATAATCATCAAAGTTCTGTGACGTAAACTCACCAACATTATCCAGTAAAATCGACATAATCGGATAATCAGGGTGGTGAGCCCTAAGCTTAATAATTTGTGCTAGGAGTTTCACAAATGCAGCATTGCGTGGGGACAATAAGCAAATATGTGACCATAGCATCGATGCATCAACTAACACTATAAAGTATCTAAATGGTCTGCATATTAGTTAGATAGGTCCAGAAATACCCCTTGAATCCTCTAAAGAAACTTGGGGGTCATGAATAATCTTTGTAAGTGAGGGTTGAATGTTTAACTTCCCTAGAGAGCATGCTTTGCAAAGTGGATGGGCGGGATAAGATTTCAAGTGATGCTCATATGATGTTTTGAGGATACGGCGCATCATATCTCATCTTGGGTGTCTCATTCGTTCATGCCAAAGTAGCTGAATGGTTTGGAATTCGGCCATAGGGCCGGCCACGTATGGGTCTTAATGGCGCAAATGGTTGTTATGAACAACTCACTCGGGAGCCGTTCCAGCTTTTCGTGAATACGTTTTTGGCCATATTCGTAAGAAGTGATACAAATAAATTCAGAACCATTCTCTTCAGTGGTTTCAACATGATATTGATTATCTTGAATATCTCTAAAACTCAACAACGTTCTTTCGGAACGTGGAGATTAGAGTGCCTCTTTAATGGTTAATTTAGTACCATTGGACAACATAATATGGGCCTTTCTGTATCCTTCTATCAGGTTGGATTGGTTTGAGAAGGTTGTCAGAGGTGCATTTTTAGGTACGAAGTTAGTAAAATAGTGTATCTCACACAATATGGTGTGTGTGGTGGCACTATCAGTCAGACAACTAACTTCCCCACTATTCATACCTAGAAATAAATTAATTGAATCAGTCATATGCATAAATATAATTCCATTCATTCAATTAATCAATTCAAGAAATAATATCCTTAAAATAATTGTCCATAGTTCAAAATAAACCAAACCAAACAAATAATTCCAAATACTTTAGAAAAATTGTCCAAAAATTAAACCACAAACCTAGAAATTTGGGGGGGGGGGGGGGGTGGGGGGGGAATTCAGCCATTCCTAGTGGGTTCGGCCACTAGGGGTGTAAAACACCCTAACATGTCTTAGAAAAATAAAACTTTATTCTTCCATAGGAGCAGATGCCTTCTGAAAATCTGAAACCTCCAGAGTTGTGGTAGTATCTTCGGGAAGTTCTACAATCGCAAAGTTAGACTCATGATGGGAATGATACTTGGCAATAGCCTCAAGGGTAGCTCGGCATACACTTGACCAATGATAATTTGATCCACAGCGATAACACATGTCCAGTTCAATGGAAGCTGATTGAACGATAGTTTTTCCCTTGCTCTTGAAGTTTAGGGCCTTAAAGGCAAGGGGTTGGCGCTTCTGGGTTAAATTTCCTCTATTGGGTAGGCCTCTGTTTTGTTGACCTTGGGCCCATGGTGAGGCTTGCCGCCATTTTCCACGGCCACGACAGGATCTTCGTCGGTTATGGTTGCTATAATTAGTCACATGCGCTTCAGGCGCAGCGTTAGAGCCAGTAGGTCAAGCTTGATGATTTCTCATCAAAAGCTGGTTCTTAAAGGTTGAATAGGTATTCTCCTGGAGATCTTGTTCTGTTAAGTCCTAGTTATAGAACTTAAGTAGTGATCGGATTCTACATACTTCAGAGTTGTATCCATTCACAGACTTAAAGTCTTAGAAGCGTAAATGCTGCCAATTGTGTCTTGCTTTAGGTCAGTAAATGTCTTTCTAGTGATAAAAGCCATCGGCTAGAACGAGCTAAAGTGTACGTGGATCCTCTCTTGCAAGGTACTCAGTCTGTAGTGTATCATGGATGTGTCTACGGATAAAGATCATAGCAATAGCTTTCTGAGCTTCATCGACGGGTTCATTATTGGTAGGTTCCTCTATAGTAGGTCTAAGACTCTTTGCAGTAAGATGGAGCTTCACGTCTTGAACCCGCTTCAGGTAGTTTCTTCCAGAGACATCCAGAGCGGTGAAATCGAGCTTGTTCAAGTTCGACATGTCCCTAAACAGAGGGTATAACAAAATGTAGTTAGTCATATGGAAAGCCATAGACATATATCGTAGAACATTCTGGTTCTATAGACATGTATTGGTTTAATTTAAGCATGAAAGGTACGGGTTTCATGTGGTAAGTTTTGAATAAAAACTTCGGGTTTCAAAGGCACTAAATTCAAAACTACAAGTTCAATTTAGTTATGAACATTTAGTTCATATATAGGGGTACCTGCAAGAACACAGAATACAATATACAATAAAGTGTAGTGGATTTGTGGATTGCTTCAGGAACCCAAGTATGAGTGATTCGGGACTACGAAAGAGAGTCAATGGTTCAAAGAAACAAAATAATATATTGAATAATTAATTGCCAAAAAGTGAGCTTCATGTAATAATTTTGGATTAATTATCAGATTAATGGACTGCTAGTCACTTTAATTAATTCAATAGATCGTCATCATTTAGGGTCGATTGTAGAAGCAAAAATAATAATAACATTCAGGTTAAAATTATATAGAATGCCAAAAGATAGTATTGGATTCGAAAACCATAGCCCAATTACAGTGGGCATAGGTTTCGTGAGTAGGGCAAAGCCCTAAAAGGCATATTGGGCCTCGGGTGGCTGCGGAGTGGCCCAAACATGGATGCAGGCCATGGGTTGTGTGTCTGGGATAAGCCCAACATCAAAATTGATGGCTTTTGGGCCAAAAATGGTGCGGGTGCATAGGCCCAGCACGGGCTGGCCTGGGATGTGGGTGCGAGTGAAGCCCAACAAAGCTGGCTTCGGTTTTTAGGCCGTAGGGACAAGCCCAGCCGTCTAGGCTAGCTTATAGTGGTCATAAGCCGAGGCTAAGGCAAAGCCCAACAAGCACAAAGGCTTGCTGGCAGATTGGGCTGAGACAAAGGATAACCCAGCAGGCTTTAGCATGCTAGGGCTTCGGGCCCTCGCATGTGATCCAACCCAGGCCAAAGCATGGTTGCAATTTAGTGGCAGCAAGCCCAAAAGGCTGTTACGATAGATCCAAGGTGTCAAAAATGACACCATCTCAATGTTGTCTCCACGCAGCTGGGCTGCAGGCCAGCACGGTGGTTGGGCAGTGTTGCCACGGTGGTGAGGCAGCTGTGCCGCATAAATCCCAATTTATTTTTTTTTTCTTTTCAAATTTCTAGGGTTAAAAACCCTATTTGATTAATTTCGATGTTTTGACTCACAAATTCCACATAGCATAATTGCATATTGTATGAACAAGTGTGTGTGTGTGTGTGTGTGTTCATATATATTGACAAAATATATGAATATATATATATATATACAATATAAGTTATAACTACGTTGAATTATTCTTCATATTACCAAAGTCATTCTCAACACAATGTGGGCAATATGTGCACTTTCATCCTCTTACACGTTAGGGTTTTATCGTTTGGTATCTAAGGTCCACATGAGTCAATGGTATGGTGTTGACCTTGTATATAATTCCTCTGTTGTGGAAACCAAAGGTTCACACCCCGTTCCAACGACATTGGTGGCGGAGCACGCACAAAATCATACTAGTATTTGAGTCTCCTGGAAGCTTAGCAGTTATGGCGACATTGATGCGGAGCATGCACGAAGTCGTAATAGTATTTGAGTTTCCTGAAGCTTAGCGTTACCCCGCCTGCTTACCACCAAAGCACCGGCTCTTCACATTTCAGTCAATTTTCCAAACAATTATTACGACAGAAGAAGGATGACGTTATTTACAAAATGCAACCAATTCAATCATAACCACCAAACGTCACCTAAGAAAGTAGCCTTATTTGCACCTTCTTATTTTGGGCTTAAGTGTGGGAGTTGACAAGGAACATCATTAGAGAAATATGAACTTGAATGCTTGAATGTGTCCCCTTAATCATTTCTCGATAATAGTTGAGAATCACAGACATATAATCTCATAAATTATATTTATTTTAAAATATTTATTTCAAAAACAAAAAAAAAAATCACACACATAATAATTTATACGACGAAAATAATTCAATCCAAGACACCAAGCATGGCATCAGAAAATGGTCCTATTTATGCTTTCTTATTTTGGATTTAGGGGTTTGGTGTGAAAAGGAGGGAGGAATGGTTGTACTTTTGACTAGAAGTCTAGAACACTAGAGAAGTATGGGGCATCCCCACACTCATCTTTAAGCTGGACCCTACAATTTCCAGACCACTTGGAGATAGATTAGGACCTCTGCCAGCAAGAGCTTCTCTCCAAGCGTACTAGGTCCAGTCGATCCTGCTGCAAACTGGCTTCATAGTGTCTTCAAGCTCTTTCTTAAAGTAGTAGGCTGAGGAAATAAAAGGAATTATAACTTAATCATGATTAAGTAATTATGATCACATGATTATGTGGAGTCCAACTGATTAATATTTGACATTAATTGGCTAACAGAATCTGGGGGGGTTAGATGGACGAAGGTCGATTTCTTGGGTCCAAGCACTCCGGTCTTGGACGTGCAATTGCCAGTAGGTTTGAGCCACCACGTCGGGATCCATTACCCCGTCAATCCCTAACGTCATCGTCATCCTCTGTGAAGTACTTGATGATGATTGGCTTCCTTCAGATGGGCCAATCACACCGTCAATAATCACATGCGCTATGTGTATCCCATGCGGTTGAAATTCCATTGACAAGCATTGTGATAGTGCTCTCAGTGCAAATTTTCCACAACCTAGTGATAATATCACATATTGCCGTGACAGAAAAAAACTCTATTAATTTCACCTTTAGAAAGTGCCATAATAAATTAAACCAAGAAAACCAATGTTAAAAGTAGTTGTACAGTGTACTTACATAGTTCAGAGTAGCCAGCAATCCCCTTGAGTGAACCTGAACATCCTGTAAACAAGATCGTTCCCCTTCCTCTTTCCACCATTCCCGGAAGTACCTTAAATTGATACCATGTTTAACATAAATATAAATTAGTACACCAAACACGCATTAAGACGCATATTGCTATGCAAACATATTGTTAAACCGTTAATCTGAACCACTAATTAATATTGTTCTTACCTCCAACTAATACCATGTTTAACATCCTATTAATTTATGTACTACAAACACATTAAGTATCCATATTCCATAGAATATCTATTGTCAAACTGTTAATCTGAACCGATACCTAAATTCAGGTGCATAATGGCAAATCACTTGTATCGTAAAACTATGGATCTAGCTATTTAGGTTTTCAAACTATCAAATTATATTGTCCGACTTTGAATTTAGACCATTGATTAGCGTTCCTAGCTCTTACCTGTTGAGCACAGTGAAAAGCTCCGACAGAAGCAACGGCGAGGGACTTCTCAAACGAGTCGAGGCGGATGTCGGTGAAGTTGGTGGGGTGCGGCTGCTGGTACGCATTGTAGACCAGCACCTCTACAAAACCCAAAGACAAAACCCCTTCAAATGCCTCCCTAACGCTTCTAGACTCAGAGCAGTCTATTCTAATGGCGAAAACCTGGGCCTTCTCTTCCCTCGCAATCTCGTCCGCGAATTTCGAGAGCCTCCCGAGATTGCGGGCGAGAATAGCGACGGTGTAACCTTCATGGGCGAACTTTCGGGCTATGGAGCGGCCGAGCCTTGGCCCTACGCCCACGATGGCAGCTATACCGCGTTGAGGAGCTGAGCTTGCCATGCTCCTCATCTTTCACTGTGTAGGTGGTGAAATATGAGTAGGAGTTGTGGGTTGGCTGGGCTACGATCTGCTACGGTGATACGTAAGTCCTTGCCTCCTTCGTGAGAGTCACAGCATCTTTCTTGCCTTTGCCCTTGTAGATGGAAGTGTCTGTCTGAAAGGGTTCTCGCTTCTGGGTTTTCGGATCTGTTATTTAAGAACCGCAGCCTTCCGCTTTTAGTTATGCTTCTGTGCCTAAGCTAATTATGTTTAGGATTATATCTGCAAAATATTTATATAAAACTAGAAACGGTGACTTGTGCCAAAAATAATGATACATGTGCCGCGAACAAGGATATTAAAATGTTAAAGGAGTTGTTGACGCTTTAAAAATATCATATGCTATATATTGGAATGTAGTTTCACTCCAGCATTTATCAAAAAATACAAATAGTGACGAAGCTGGCTTAAAGAATCTAGGAAGAGGAGTAGCAACACATTTGTTAACCATTTTCTAGTATATTTACATGGAAGTTCAGAAATTTGTAAGTCAAATACACCGGAATGACTTTAATCTAATAGAGTAAATTTTATTTACACGACATTATATATTGCTGAAAAATCACAGTAACAGTGAATATGTGGATGCTGAAATATCATACCAACCTTCCAAATTTATATGTAGCTCCTTTCTTGAATCGGATATAATAAATGAAGAGGGTTGAAAATCATTTTGCATCAAAATTTTCGGAGTCTCAATTATGGTTACCAAATGTTTAGACAACGAATATAGAAATTTTATATGACCTTTGCTTATCTTGTAGCGTAGGCATCATTTATTGGAATGTCAAGGGTTTTAGTGTTGGCATGCATGCCACGTTTATTATAGTTCTAGCTGTATAAAGCTTGCTCCACTTCTCATCCGGTGTCAGGTCGGCAGCAGTTTTGAAACATCTGTCCCTTTTACTTATAGGTCATTCAATTGATACACAAACGATTTACAACCACAGAAAAAATTGATATAATTAAAAATAATAATAATAATTAGTATTCGGTCCCTAGTTACTAATGTTCATTGATAAAAAATTTATTAGTTTTCAGATTTTAATCCAAGTCCCTAGTATTAATGTAATAATGAATTTACATATCAGTTACATATTTTTTTTTAAATAAAAATTAATAATTGATTTAGAATTTTAATACTCACACCTTTATTAAACTCCTAACTAATTTTTAATTCAAAACATTTCCAAAATAAATAAATAAAATTAGAATAGGTTTGTACCCGTTAGCTTTTTTAAAAACAAGTTTTCAATTTTTTAATCTTATATGTACCCATTCATATAATTTTTTCAAATTTTTAATCTTAAAATGTACTCATTCTTAAATATACCAATTTGTTACATGTAAAATGTACCTTTTTTTATATAAAATCTATTCAATTTCTTTTCTAATCCATTTTTAAACTTATATGGATACTTTCTTTTTTCTATGATTTGAGAATGTATCCTTGACAAGTTTAATTAAAGAAATTTACTAATGTTATTAAGCTTAATATCTTTTTTCTTTTCATTTTTTTTTTTTTTGGTGATTTTGAAGAATGTTCCCATGTTTTGGTACAATAATTTTTTGGTTAATTTTGATGAATGTACCCATGTTTATACACACACACACACACACACACACACAATAGTATATTTATATTTTAATATTTTTAATTCCACAAATTATGGTTTTTTATTTAAAATCTCATTAATATAAACAACTATAAATTTTAATTTTTAATTTAAAAAATATAGTAACATACATAGAAATAAATTATCACATTAATTTCAGGGACTTCGATCAAAATTGAAAACCAACAAGGTTTCAATCAAATAATATTCATAGTTAGGGACTGCATCTAAAGTCTCCTAAAAATAATAATAAAAAAAGCCTAAGGCCTTCTTCGGTTAGGATAAGTTGAGTTTTGGGGAGACATAAATTAATAATTTAATAAGAGAATGATATTGGACTATAAGCTCTTTATGACGAGTTTACTTTTGACGTCATAAGCAGATCACAGAGTACTTAAGGGATGTGGCATCTGTCTACCTCATGGGTACAAGGCCTTTGAGTAGCCTTGGAGCCCCTTAGGCCCATGGTATCCTACCATCGAGCCATACTCGGCCCAAGGTGGTAGGAAGCCGACTCTTCAGAGTCTTTTTCTTAGATGTTCAGTGTGAATGTATATTTCCACCACTGGGCAATCAACTCGTTTGAGTCTTATAACCTGCTTGCCTGAGACTTGCAGAATTGGAACACAAAGTTGGAGTTAAGGGGAACAATGGTGTGATGTCTGTCAAAAAGGCTCCAATGCCTAAATTAGTAATGTTTATCGACTAAATCAACACTTAAGTGCAAACAATAGCATGGAAATGTCTGGTAGAACGGGGGCGAAAACTAAACCTTCTTTCTTCGACTTAAATTGAAGGGCTCAGCTTACATGTGAAACACTTTGCCTAGGGAGTACGATTTGGCATAAGTTTGAGATTACCATTCTTTGAGCCATAAGTGGCTACTTATAAAGGATGGCTGAATGTGATCTGCAAAGCAGTTGAAAATGACACGTGGCATACATTGAGCCTTTTTAAGAAGCACTCCCCATAAGTGGAGGAAATAATGAAGGTCCATGATAGTGTGTGCCTTAAGAATAGGCATCATGTGCCATGTTTATAGGTACTGAGTGAGCCCATTTCTTTGCTGGCGTCACCTCGTTGTGGTAGTGCTCTACGAATTTTAGCCTTTTAGCCAGGTCAGGGGAAGTCAAGTTGATCATTTATCGTCAACGAAAGTTCAACGTGCTCAACAGGCTTTAGCAGTGCTCTTGCTTGGCGAGGCTTTCTTGGCCTCGTAATGAGCCACGTGCTAACCTTCTTGTTATGAGCTAGGTCTCATCCTTTAGGGTGCATTTGTTATACCGAACTATCTTGGACTATACTAGCTCCAGGGACTAAGCTTGATTGGCTTGGCTTGGACTAAGCTGGATAAGAATTATGAAGCGTTTGGTGCACCACCGGACTAAGAAGCAGGACAATAAAAATGTTCATTTTATTTATTATTAAATTATTATTTTGTAGTTATTTCAATAGTCTAAACACCTAATTAATTCTAAAAAATATTGTTTGACCATTTATTAATTTACTTTTGTCCTTTGAAAAACTAAAAAGTAAGAAAAAATAAATGAATTAACATCAGTCATCAGCCCTTCTTCCTCACAGAGAGATACAAAATCATGTCCATCAAGTAAGACCATTGTTTCTTTCTCAAAGCTGTTCTTCTTCTTCGGGAAGCAAAACCCATGAAAATATTTGATTACTGTGGAACAAATGGGAGAGAACCAAGAAATTAATCAAACCTAAAGTCATAAATTCAATTGAACAACATGAAGAACCTAGCCAAACCCATAAAATTTCTTGTCATAGAACACAAGATATAATGTTTTCGTCATTCTGCAGTATTTGATTGATGGCTTTCAGAGTCAATAATGGGACAGAAAAAAGTAGATGGTTAATGGGTTTCAAATCTGGGGTGTAAACGACTCTCAGTCTGACCTGGTTTTGTAGGAGATCATAAAGGAGTCAGCGATGTCGGAGTCGGCAACAGAGGACTACGACGAAAGTTGCTATATGCTAAAGCATGAAGTTGTAAGCGAGGATAGCCCTAGCTAATACCAAGTGTTCACTCCGGATTATCTAACGCAACTTAATGAGGCGTTTAGTCGGCATGAGTTGGACTTAGCATCATTTATGCTAGTCTCGTCTTACGCCAAACATGGGATTGCTGTCCCAGCTAAGCCAGTCCCTTTTAAGGAGGCCTAATAAACGGGGCCTTAGTTTATTCATAGTGGTTTTGACCACTTGCTCGTGGGTTGCTACACAAGTTCCAATGTATTATGCTTCTTACTAGCAGAACGTAGAGGTTTGCATAATATGGCCTGCAACCTCCTTTCCTAACTACTTGCGAGAGTTCAGTTATATAAATAACCAGGTCACATAGGGAAATCAATAATCTCTCTTACTATTTAGAATTCTCTATGTTCTAGTTTCTCTCTAACTATCTCTCTAACTTAGGCATCAAATGCCCTTTCACGAACACCTTCTCTTATTTATCGAGTGTTTGTCAATTATGCTAACAGTGTTTCTTATTTTGCAAGTGTGACATCGTCAATCTAACCTTGTTATCAGACACTGTGAGTTTGATTCGTATTACATTATTGGTATTATGGATTTTATATATTAAATATGGATCTGTCTACTTTTTCTTTTTCTCTATTTGTAATCGTTACCAATTTTATCTCTCTTATAATTTATTGTATAAGAATCACTCTCATTACACTCAAATTTTTTAGCTCACTATATAAGTTTGATTCCTATATCATTGGGATTGCACTCAATTTTTCGACCTACTATCGAAGGCCTAAGTTCAAAAAAAACATTAAACTCAATTATTAAAGCAATTCGAGCTTAAGAATGAGACCGAAAAACAAAGAAAGTTGAGCTTAAGACCTCTGTTGTGGTAGGACAAAGTTAAAGGTGGATAATTACTAAATTCAACATACGTTGAATGAAGAAATTGATGTCAATCAAATCCTTTGATACTTAACTAGATTTTAGTTGCTCAACTCATAACAAACTGTGTGAGTAATTTCATAATATAGTACTTGTACAACTAAGACCACTTATTTTGAGCCAACATCAACTTGTTCCAACTGAAAACCAAGTCAAGTAAATTGAGGTAAGCTAAGTTCATGCTTGATAAAACATAAACATTGGGGGATGTTTACTTACATTTTTTAAGATGGTAATGTCATGAGATAATGTGAAAATGATATTTAAATTGTTCAAGTATGAGATAAATATGGACCTCCTTAGTAATGATATCTTTCTGAATTTGGTAATGGAACCTGTGAAAATATAAATTAACCACATTCAATAGGAGAACGACATGTGGATTTTAGTTCAATATGACGGTTTTACCCTTGACGTCGTGAGTAGACCACACCAAAACTCAAAGGGATAAGCATCTGCATGCCCTATAGGTCTTAGGCATTCATGCCCACACATATATCAAGGTGCCCCTTGAGTCCAAGATATCTCGCTTTTGCCATCACGCATTTTCCGGCTCAAGGAGTCAGGGGTCGATTCTTTGGAGTCTCTCTTGGGCTTCGCGCTCCAGCATCACTACCTGCCAGAGGCCTTCAGAGACTTCCTGTAGCTACCTGCAGAGACTGGTTTACATTACACTAGCAGAACATAGCAGTCTGCCTAGTACGGCTTGAGACTTCACATCTCCACTGTCTACGAGGAATCTCTCCTATAAATACCCAAGTCTAACTTTCCAAAATTATTAATTTGTCATCTCACCCTAACTCCATTAAGTTTTTCGTTCAAAATAAGTCATGTGACGTGCACATGACTGTGTTTAGGGTTATTTCGGACATCTCAACAAAACAAAATATCATCCAACTTTACTATAGATTGGAAGGTTCCGAATGACTATATTTTTAAGCCATCTTCACTTTGAAACACTTAGAAGTAAATGCAGGTTGTTTTCCTTTTTTCGAACGTCAAACCCTCATGTCATCGTTTAGATCAACCCTTTTTTTGTATTTTTTTTTTTTTTAGAAACCTAGAATTATTTTGTCAAAGTGAACTTATCAGAAGGGGTGTTGATGTTCAAAAATACCTTGAACACAACTTATTTTGGATGAAAAAACTTAACAGAGTAAGGGTGAGATGACAAATTA